ATAAGTCGGTTATAAGCTTCGTTTCGATTATTCGTCTCGAAAAAAAAATATATATATTTTTTTCACTATTCTATTTTATTCTTTCTTTTTATCTTTTTAAACATTTACTTTCAAAACAATTTCATTAGTATTTGTCTGTCTTAACAAAATACGTGTATCATTTTATATTTAATTTTCTTTAATAGCGACAACGAAGACGATCCAATAGTTCAAACGACATACTGGCGCACGTAAGCGTTAAAGCCGTGAGATCTCCTAGGAGAGATGCCTCATATAATAATATACCACGTCCTCCCAGGCTAGCTTACGATACTTCCTCACAAGCTTTCCCTACTATAATGCCAAGGACACCTCCTCCATCTCGACATGTGTTTAATAGGTCTGACTATGGTCCTCCACAAAGTCACTCGCAATATAGAAACGAGATAAATACTACATATAGAGGTGGTAGTTCTCCTTCGAGAGGATCAAGAACTACTAGCTTTGGAAGTAAAACAAGTGGTAGTAGTCGTATGAGTATAGGTAGTCAGCAGGTACCTTCGTCTTTGTCAACTTTCTATAACGAACGTATAGAAAAGACGACAAGTTTTGATGATGAGGATAGTGCGGGCGAGGAGACAATGTCTTGTAATTCACCAATGTTCGATGATTATGATAATGCTTTTGCTATCGATTCAAATCTTGTGCAAGAAGTTTACTTATTACGCAAGGAAATTGATGCAGTTAAAAATAGTCTGGCAGGTTTACAAAAAAATCGCGTGGATACATTGAACGAGAAAAAACAACTCGAACAACAATATCAGGAAGCCAAAAGTGAAGTTACAAGAACTTTAGAAACCAGTTTAAATGATTCATTTTCGTGTAATGAATTATTAAATACAGATGTCCAAAAACTTTCTTTAGAATTATCGGCCGGTAATTCGGACACTGTTTCGGAGGATAATAATAATGATTTATCCCCAGAGTATGAAAATATTATGAATGACTGTGTACATTTGGCAAAAGAATTAGAATTATCTCAATCACAACTTGAAAAAAGTAAATGTGAATTTCGTGATCTTTTAACCGTTAAAGAAAAAATTGACATTAGTTTTGAAGCTCAAGAACGTGAATATTGTGAACGAATACGACAGTTTGAGGCAGTTATAAGTGGTCAATCTGTTATGATTGATCAAATGGAAACATTGTTGAGAGATGCTGAAGGAAAAATAGAATAGTGAAAAAAATATATATATTTTTTTTTCGAGACGAATAATCGAAACGAAGCTTATAACCGACTTAT